TCCCAGGTGTATTTAGGATGTATTTTGGTAACCCAGGTGTATGTAGGATGGATTTGGGGGATCCCAGGTGTATGTAGGATGTATTTGGGGGATCCCCGGTGTATTTTGGATGGATTTGGGGATCCCAGGTGTATTTTGGGTATCTCAGGTGTAACTCAGGTGTATTTAGGATATATTTTGGGGATCCCAGGTGTATTTGGGTAACCCAGGTGTATGTAGGATGTATTTGGGGGATCCCAGGTGTATTTTGGGTATCTCAGGTGTATTTAGGATGTATTTGGGGGATCCCAGGTGTATTTGGGGGATCCCAGGTGTATGTTGGGTATCCCAGGTGTATTTAGGATGGATTTGGGGATCCCAGGTGTATTTGGGTATCTCAGGTGTATTTGGGGATCCCAGGTGTATTTTGGGTATCTCAGGTGTAACTCAGGTGTATTTAGGATGTATTTAGGATGGATTTGGGGATCCCAGGTGTATGTAGGATGTATTTGGGTATCCCAGGTGTATTTGGGTAACCCAGGTGTATGTAGGATGGATTTGGGGGATCCCAGGTGTATGTAGGATGTATGTTGGGTATCCCAGGTGTATTTTGAGTATCTCAGGTGTAACTCAGGTGTATTTAGGATGTATTTAGGATGTATGTTGGGGATCCCAGGTGTATTTTGGTAACCCAGGTGTATTTAGGATGTATGTTGGGGATCCCAGGTGTATGTTGGGTATCCCAGGTGTATGTAGGATGGATTTGGGGGATCCCAGGTGTATGTAGGATGGATTTGGGGATCCCAGGTGTATGTAGGATGGATTTTGGGGATCCCAGGTGTATGTTGGGTATCCCAGGTGTATGTAGGATGGATTTGGGGGATCCCAGGTGTATTTAGGATATATTTTGGGGATCCCAGGTGTATGTAGGATGGATTTGGGGGATCCCAGGTGTATTTTGGGGATCCCAGGTGTATGTAGGATGGATTTGGGGATCCCAGGTCTATTTTGGGGATCCCAGGTGTATTTGGGTAACTCAGGTGTATGTTGGGTATCCCAGGTGTATGTAGGATGGATTTGGGGGATCCCAGGTGTATGTAGGATGGATTTCGGGGATCCCAGGTGTATGTAGGATGGATTTGGGGGATCCCAGGTGTATGTAGGATGTATGTTGGGGATCCCAGGTGTATGTAGGATGTATGTTGGGGATCCCAGGTGTGTTTGGGTAACCCAGGTGTCTCTCCCCAGGTGCTGGACCCCGCGTTCCGCGGCCCCTTCGGCAACGTCACGCGCTGGTTCCTCACCTGCCTCAACCAGCCCCAGTTCAAGGCCGTGCTGGGCGAGGTGCAGCTGTGCCAGCGGATGGCGCAGTTCGACGGTGGGCACACCTGGGCACACCTGGGCACACCTGGGGAGTGGGCACACACCTGGGGGCACCTGGGCACTCTTGGGAACACACCTGGGGACACACCTGGGGGCACCTGGGGGGTGGGCACACACCTGGGGACACCTGGGCACACCTGGGGGGAACTGGGACACACCTGGGGGCACCTGGGCACACCTGGGCACACCTGGGGGGCACTGGGACACACCTGGGGGCACCTGGGGGGGACTGGAACACACCTGGGGGCACCTGGGCACTCTTGGGGACACACCTGGGGACACACCTGGGCACACCTGGGGGGTGGGGACACACCTGTGAATTTTAGAATAGTTTAAAGGGAGATTCTTGAGGTAAAAAAGGGGCAGAGAAAGTGAATTTCGGGCAAATTTAAAAGGGATTTTTTGAAGTAAAAAACCCGAGTTTTAAGCTAGTTTAAAAGCGATTTTTTGTGGTAAAAAAAACCCCAAAAAACGGCGATTTTTGGGGCGATTTTCGCCCGGAAAGCCCCAAAACTCTCCCGTTTTTTTGCTGTTGGGAGCAGCCAAGAAGTTTGCGGAGGGGCAGGCGCGGCGGGAGAAGGAGAAGGAGCCCCCCAGGAAGGGGGAGAAGGAGAAGGAGCCCCCCAGGAAGGGGGAGAAGCCCCCCAAGAGGGAGGAGAGGCGGCCGGAGCCCGAGCAGGACCTGGACGAGTGCGAGCAGGTCCTGGCAGCCGAGCCCAAGGCCAAGGACCCCTTCGCCCAC